TAGTCATCCGCATGGTCAATGTCGCCCCCCCAGGCCATCACAGCATCAGCCGGAGGGACAATAACTTCCCAACCCCTTCTAAATGGATGTTTCTCTTTAAAAGCCCTGAACCCGCTATTAAGAAGGGTAATGTTACTCGGCAGCATCCGGGTTCTTTTGGGGTTGGGATGGTCAGCAACTTTGGGCGGCTGCTGATAGTCAGCCGCAAAATCTCCCTGGTCAGAGCTAGAGGATTCCGCTCTTGATCCCTGGCCGGCTTTAGCGTCGCCGGCTTCATTTGAGGAGGCGGCTCCTTCGCCGTCCACTTCTCTTACTCCAGAGCTCCCGGAGGTAGAGGGAGACTCTTCGTCAGATCCGCTCTCCTCCCAATTCCTCGGATCCCCTTCCGGGAAAACCTCATCGGCTGGCACTCTCATGGTGCGCCGGCTTTTAGACCGCCTGGCCGTTTGTTTCGTTCTGACCATTGTGTCCTGCACAGACACAGAGAGGAAGGAATTCGGAGATGAGCATATTGGTTCCGACAGTCCAGAAGAGGCACCCCTTGTTCTAGACTCAGCCGTTCTGGGGGATCGGCTGAGTATCCTAGGCAGTGCCGAGTGGGTGGATTGGGAACTCATTTATATTTTCTATTTTCTAAAGAAAGCCGGGCATACAGGCGGAAAAAATGGTATGTAAATTGAAAGGGAGGAAAGCTAAAATGGTACAGGCGGTTACCTTGCTTTGACTCTGAAAAATCTGAAAACCGCTACAGCCGGTGAATCGGGTGATGTACTGCTAGCACTCGGAAGCTTGAAACTCGCTGATTATGCAGGCGGGAGCAGAGAAAACTCTCTCTAGAATCTCTCTTTTTCTCTCTCTAAAAATTCAATATGAATGTAAAGTGTTAAAAGGAGGGGAGGTAACTTTCTATTTATAGAAAGAAAATGGGGGGAAAATTTTGATTTGAAATTCAAAATTTTACCCGTTACTGTTCACCTATGAAAGGTGGACACGTGTGACAGGCCCCACGTGACATGCTCGTGCGACCTGTGAGGGGCAAATGCTTAGGGTATTTTTACCCAAGACACGTGGACCAATGAGAGGTCGCCACGTGTCTAGCTCAGGATGGCCCATGTGGCTCAACATCCTCTTGACACGTGGACCAATGAGAGGTTGCCACGTGTTGAGCTCAGGATGTCCCATGTGGCTCAACATCCTCTTGACACGTGGACCAATGAGAGGTTGCCACGTGTCGAGCTCAGGATGGCCCATGTGGCTCAACGTCCTCTTGACACTTGGCGCCCTCATATATGTTTCTGAAATGGCGGCTTTCAAAGGCCCAAACTCCTAGGAGCGCCGTAAAACGGCGCAGCCCACTAAAATCTAGGTCAAGTGACCTAGGTAGGGGCACTTTTCCCAAGGACCCTATAAATAGGGAGATATTTTCCCATTTTGGGGACACATCAATCATTTATTACACCCTTATTCTCTTACATCAGAGAAAGACCTGAGCTTGGAATCCGAGCAGATATCCACCTAAATTTCCGTTCTCTCTATTCCGTTTCAAGTTACTAACTTGTGCATCGGAGGCGGAGCACCACCCAACCGGTGTCTCCGTTTGTTTTGTAGGTACAGCTCACTGCGGATCAGTCTTCGTGTTGTAACTCTCCCAATGGACAAAAACACCCAAAACATTCTTAATGCTAAAATTATTTTGACAATAATCTCATTTACCATCTCTTATTAAATCCTAAATAAGGGTGCCTAAAGACTTTTGTTGCAAATAAAAGTAATAATAGGAAGTAATAGTAGGCCTAAAAAAAAAAGTGTAACACATTAGGGAAAAAAAGCGACAAAGGAAAGTGTAACACTTGGAAAAAAAAAGGGAGTAAATAATTCAGGTATAGAAATGTTGTAAGGGATTGTTTGGATGTACCTTTTGGAATGGAGTTAGATTTTATTTCATCTATTTTAGGAAAAATTGGTATTATTAATCCCAAATTTGGGTCATGTACTAAAATCTCAACTATCGATTATTCTTGAATAATCCCAACTTTGGGTGGTATTTTCTTTTATCAAATCCAAATGACCGGTAAAATGAAGAAAAGGTCAACTCTTTTTTTTTTTTTAAACATTGCAGATATTAAGCTTTAAATGGTAAAAAATATATATAAAAAAGGAAATCACCCTTCCCCTTCCCCCTCCGGAGCCTAGCCCCTATCGGAAAATCCCTCCTTCCCAGCCCGCAACTGCTTCCACCCAAGCCGGCGACCCACCCAACCCAAACCCAAACCCAAACCCATGGCCGTGAACCCCCATCCAATGAACTCCCACCCAACCCGTTTCTTGTCCGCAAACCACCAGCCCCCACTCTTGCTTCCGCCGCGAAAATTGAACCCCTAACCCACCGCCTACTGCAATTCTCATCCAGCAACACCATTACTACCTGGTGCGCGAGTCGCGGTGGTCTGCTCTAGGTGACCAGCCAAATCGAAGAAGGGGAATGGGGTGTTATACAGGGCGGAGAAAGGGAAGGACACTGGTTTTAGGGGTGTGGAAGGAAGTTTTTGGGGTTTGGGAAGGGGTTCCAAGTGGGGCTGCAATTTTTCGATGGGAGGGGGTTTGCTGGTTTTAGAGGTTTCCGGGTTGGGGAGGGGGTAGTTTATAATTTAATTTTTTTTTTTGAGAAATTTGTTTTTATTTTATGATTTTTTAGAGTAATAGTGTGTTGACACGTGGAAAATGACTTGCTACAACAAATTTGGTAACCGGTTAAGTTTGATAAAAGTCAATATCCAAAAGTGGGATTATTCAGAAACAATCGATAGTTAGTTGGGATTAACTAAAGTAAATGACCTAAAGTTGGGATTAATAATACCAATTGCTCCTTTACTTTATTATTTGGTTAAATTTTATAGTTATGGAACATTGGAACCTCATACCAAGATGTTTCTAACTCTATCACATCCTCCCGTAATCACACACCTTCACCCCTAAGATTCACATACAAACTATTTTTTAATGCGATGTAGAAATCATTTCAACAAATAAACTAAAAAAAACTTCAAACTAGTATTGGATTTTGAATCCATATTTCCCTAGTGTGAAATTTTGTACCATTCCATTCCCGTTTAATGAATCAAATGACCCCTTGTAAAGTTTCTATATCAAATGATTTAAAACAAAGGTAACTACTTTTTTGAACGATTTCCATCAATATAGCTTAAATTAAAGGAAAAATTTCTCCCATTAATCTGAACTTTGCCTCGTCCGCCCAAATTAATCTGACTTTCGATTATTATCTATCACTCCCAACTTTAGGGGTATTAATTTTTATTGCACCCAAATGACTTGCAACCGGTTAATTAGATAAGCATTTAATTTGTGAATTATTTTTTTGGCACACGTGTCAATATGTAATTGGTTGAGAAAATAGAGAAAAAAAAAATGTAAAAAAAAATCTTAAAACCAATCTAGCAACAACCCCACATCCACCACCGACGATGGCCAAAAATGGCCGATGTTGGGGCGAATACCCTAAATCGGCCGATTTCGGCCATTTGTGGCCGATTTTGTGGCTGAATATGGCTGATTTTGTGGCCGATTTCAACGAGGGAAGGGGAGGAATTCAAAGGGGAAGGTGTTTGGGCTAGTGGGGAGGGGTTTTCGAGGGTGGGGAGGGGTTTTCGCAGGTGGCTAGGCTGCTGGGGAGGGGTTTTCGCTGGTGGTTGGGTTGCTGGGGAGGGGTTTTCGGGGGTGGGGGAAGGGTTATCTGGGGTAGGGGAAGGGAAGGGGTGGTTGGGCGGCATTTTCTGGCAGTAGGGGAGGGGCCAATTTTCCGGCGGGTTGGGGGTGGGGGTGTGGTGTTTTCAGGGCTGGGCATGGGTGGTTTGTGGGGTTTTTTTTTTTTTTTTGATTTTCAATTATACGCTGACACATGTCTAGGTAACGTGCTACATCAAGTTGGATGACCTGTTGGGTGCAATAAAAATTAATACCCCCTATAGTTGGGAGTGATAGATAATAATCGAAAGTACGGATTAATTTGGGCGGACGAGGCAAAGTTCAGATTAATGGGAGCAATTATTCCAAAATTAAAATATATTCCTTGTTTTCTTCATTTTAAAAAGTAATTCCCAATGTATTGTCCAACTAGGATCAGATATCATTTAATTTTATATTTAAAAAATCTTTAAAGCAGCTAAACCGCTTACAACGTTAGCGGTTTTAAGAGAAAAACCGCAATCAGTAATAACGATTCTTATGCTTTTAATAATTACAAGCAAAATATTCTTTTCCGCTTCATTTCACTCTATCAACATTCGACAACAACAGTAGTACTTTTTTTTAAAAAAAAACAGAGCAACATTTAAAAAAAAATCGAGCATGTCTTAAGTTCATGCATGAGTCGGTTCTTAACCTTAAGTAACACCCTAAAAGTGTTACACAAAGTGGTAAAAGTGTTATTATAGACAATAGGTAACACTTTATTGGGTGATACATCCGCCCATGTTACCAAAGGTCTTATGTAACACTTTGGGTAACATTAGGTAACACTTTTAAAAGTGTTATTATAAACCCTTTTATGTATCACTTTTAACATTATTAGTATCATTTCTAAAGTGTTACTATTTATTTTTTATGTAACACTTACTTATCTTTAGTAACATTTTTCAATCATATAGTATCACTTTATCCGACATTATGTATCACTTTTTCGAACTAATGTAACACTTTGTTGATTATTAGGTAACATTTTACAATCATGCTTTGACATATAGTAGCACTTTATTCGACATTATGTATCACTTTTTACAAAGTATTGTAACATTTTATAGATTAATAGGTAACATTTATTATTATTATTATTATTATTATTATTATTATTTTTATTATTATTATTATTATTATTATTTAAAAAATATAAGAAAACATAAATTATATGTACAACAACTATATGAATACGTAATCAACACATAATAGAAAATAATTTGGATTGAAATAACTTCATATTTCTCACAAAAAAAATCCATAAACACCAATTTAAATGTTTGGCCAAACAATATAATAATCCAAACACAAAGAATATTAAGTTCGATCTCAAGCTTGGAAAAAGTAAGGAAAAACAAAAAACTTCCAAATTTCAAAAAAGACAACGATAACAATAAAAAAACATTAATAATAACAGCGTATAGCAGTAGCTACACAACTAGCTAGCAGAACGGCAAATGTCATCAGCAGTCTTTAGCAGCAACTAGCAGTAGACAGTAGTGGAAGCTTTCAGCAATAGCAGACATGAATTGGCAGCAACCAGCAGTAGTAGACATGAGTTGGCAACCGAATAAGCAAGATTCAGCAGCAAAACAACAGCAAAACAGCTGAAAACAGCAATAGAGACAGCAGTAGCAGCAAAACAGCAGCGAAATAGCTCGAAACAGCAGCAAAACAGCTCGAAATAGCAGCCAAACAGCGCGAAACAGCAGCAAAACAGCTCAAAACTGCTGAAAACAGCAACAGAGACAGCAATAGCAGCAAAACACCTCAAAACAGCAGCAAGACAGCTCGAAACAGCTCAAAACTGCTGAAAACAGCAACAGAGACAGCAATAGCAACAAAACAGCAGCAAAACACCTCAAAACAGCAGCAAAACATCTTGAAACAGCAGCGAAACAGCTCAAAACAGCAGCAAAACAGCTGAAAACAGCAGCAAAACAGCAACAGAGACAACAGTAGCAGCAAAATAGCTCGAAACAGCAGCAAAACAGATCAAAACAACAGCAAAATAGCGGTAGCAGTAGCAAAAAAGCAGTAAAAGAAAGTTCTTGTTGATCATGAATTGCTATCCCAATTCTTCATCTTCATCCGTTTGATCCTATGTGTGAAAGCATCATGTGTAAAAAAACTAGAACAAAAATTAAATAATTCAATAATAAGAGTTTGTGCTATTTAAAAGATTATATATTAACTTACCTCATTTCCTTGTTGCTCATTAGAGTGTACAATGGGAATATGATTTGTAAGTTCTGGATTGGATGACACATTTTCAAGTGATCGAGTCAAAGTATCCAACACTTCAGGATCACTTTGCTTGAGCATCTTCATTAATTCTGCTACAGTTTCTTTCACAATTTGGTCTTTATAGGGCTTTAAGAACTCATCGGGAATTATTGGATTGTTGCTCTTTCCCCTTAGTGAACATATCCCTTGTTGCTTTTTTCTATGGCCAAAGTTATTTGGTTTATTCATTACTTCATAGTATGCAACATCTCCATCAATTTCACTTTGAATTTGTACCTCCTCCATCTTGTCCTATAATGGGAATATAACAATCAAACAACTAATTTGAGACAAATAATCATATTCAAAAAAATATGCAAACAACAGGACTTACAATGTTACTTTGGGTGGGCTCATAAGATGTTTTGTATTTCTTATCTGCTTTCCTTTTACGACTTTCTTTGTACATGAGTGCCAAGGATGGTGGCTTTTTTTCAACATCTAGTTGTTGCTAGAATAAAAAAAAATACATCCAAATAAGAATTGAATGAATATTGTTTACATGATCCTAGTGAGAAAGATATAGAAGGAAAAATGGTATAAAAATATACCAATTTATGTTGTTTCCTCGCTAAAGTCATAGGACCCATGGTGTCCCTATCTTTTTTATCTATACATATTTCCCTTTTCTTCTGTTGTCTTCCTGCATGCATGCATAACACACGGTTCATAGTTTAACACATTTCAATTTGAGAAAGAAATAAACAATTGTAATATAAATGATAACAAACAACATAACTCTACCTGGACAGGTTCCAAATTCCAAAATTCTAGCAACTCTTTGAAATGTGCTTCTGGAATTGTATTAGGTGGATTTGCCAACCTATCACCATCATTGTCTTACGGAGTAAAGTGTGTTGCCTTTACACTACATTTATATCTACACCACAGCCTTCCCACGGATGTCAAAACACAATCTTTACCTTTTTCATTTCTTCTGTATTAAGTAAAATATTAAACAACAAATTAGGAAGCTATAAATTACGTCAGCCACTTGACATATAATAGCACATAAACTAATCAAATAACACCATTTAAAAAAAAAGGTGCATACCTTCACGTAACTCCAAATTTGTTCCTTGTCTGGAACATAATGCCAACTAATCTTGTTCAACGGTGCTAGAGAAGAATTACGAGCTAAAGTCCCTAAGAATCTTGTAAATGTATTCACAGTCTTATCATCGGGACCAATAGGCTTTCCCATTTCATTAAGAACAATAGGCTTACGCTCCTCTAATGTCCATTCATGGACATCTTTACACATAGTTGGTCCTCTAGTTCGCTTACTTTTTGGAGGTGCTACATGAATATTAACTCGACAAAGTCATTAAAATCATATATTGCTCTTAACATATCTATCTTAAAATATTTAGAACGGAATGATAGTGATCATTACCTATTTGTTCACTTTCTTGCTCTTGATTCATTAGTGGTACATCTTGCATTATTCCTAGCTCCTCAGGGGTAAGAGTACTCAAATCCTCACTAAAAGCATCTTCTTCATCGTCATATTGTTTCAAAATGCGTTCATTTGAACCCATATGATTCTCATAATCTTCCTGTAAGTCATGTCCAAATCTTTGTGGTTGTGAAAAACTTTGTGCTTGTGAACTCCCTAAATGCCAATCTGAACTAGCCATGTTAACAGGCTGTGAACTAGTCATGTTAACAGGTCGTAGTTGTCGTCGTAGTAATAAATCACTTTGTTTTGCTCTCCTCTCTTTTTCACGTAACTGTGTTTGCATTTGCCTATAAGCACTGAGTGAACCAGGGGCAACCACTGTCTTACTCTGCCCTGTCTTAGTTTGGATACCATTCCCAATCCCAACCTCTTTCTCTTGCTGATTATGGATTCCTGATTTTTTCTGTGCAGTAGACTTGCCCAATTGGATTTTTCTTTATGTTGAATCTCTCCCTTGTAATCCTTGATTAGAGTGTTGTCTCTCGGTGTCTTGAAGATGCATCTTAATTTGATTAGCCATTGGTACTGAAGAGACACATGCCGTGTCCTTATTGTTTGTGGTTATCTTCCCTCTCAATGCCACAACCTGAAATTAAGTATTCACGAGAATCATTAAACAAGTATTACATGATTTTTGAACAGTTATGATTCACAAAGTTAAGTTGTCAAAAAAAAAATTTACCACCTTCTTTGAACGAGATCTCAAGTTTACAGCATTTTTCCTTCTCTCATTTTCATCCTCTTCACTTGAGTGGTTCAGTTCACCCTCTTCATCAGGTGTATACTCGTCAGTATCTTTAGTCACCTTCTTCCTTTTTTTCGTTTGTTTCGATCCCTTCATTGACTGTTTCATTTCATAAGCCATGGATGTAACCCCTAAATCCATCATTCTGATTCTATTTTGTTTTATAGTTTTTTGTCTAAGTTTCTCATATTCTTCCATCTAAATCTTTCTTCCTACAAAGAACACACAAGGCAGTCAGTTAGAAATTCCACCAGAACAAAAACTCAGCAGTCAGCACAAGTGACACAAAATTCAGAATTCTCTATTATATTTATATAGTAACCTGATAGTCTGATAAGTAATCCAAAAACCAACTAAAAAAAAGGTCCAAGTAAGCAAAACTTAGTTTATATTATGCAAGGTATATACACCACAGAGAGTTGATTATTTGACAGGTTGGGGTGATGGGAATTGAACCTCCAACCTCTTAGTTGAGAGGGTGGGATCTCTAATTTTCTACCATCAAGTTCCCACTTGATTCTCATACCTTACTGCTTCTTTGAATGCAGGAAATGCAATCACATATATACTTCGTATTAAGCATGCAACAATGTTATGCAGTTATTGTGTACGAGTAAGAAGTTTAAGATCATTAATAGACACAATCCATGGCTTTATGTAATTTCACAACATTATTAGAACAATTTCTTTTTGGAAGTGGTCAAAGCCCTCAAAGGTTGTTATATACATACCTAGATAAAGCTATCTGAATATATACCCAGCAACTTGTCTAGAAAATGAAGAGACATGGGTACAAACTGTAAGACAACCAGCATATCGAAACTAAAACACAGGCTTTGCACAACAATAACAAGAAGCCACAGGGGCAAGCTAAGAATTATGACATACTTATAAACATAAAATCAGCAACTTCAAAACTCTGAACCAGTCACGAAGACAGCAACATGAGCTGAAATCTGCAGAAAAGAGTCAAGACAGTAGAAAAGGAGCTAGAAGTCACTACTCTGAACTCAGGAGATTGGGGTCTAAAACACAAATCTTACAGAGTATTTGATACACAGAAGCGCACAGTCAAGCCAGCAATAACTCTAATAACAGCTTCAAGAACATAAAATCAGATGCTGAGTTGCTCTTTCTGTGCTCAGTTTCTCAGGTGCTCGAATCTACTTAACAAAGGTAATAAGTTGTTAAACCCGTATCCTAATTAGTGAAAGTATCCTAATTACTTAACAAAGGTAATAAGCTTAGGTCCTGTTTTTAAAAGGGACTAGCTAACTGATTAGCACTCCCTAAGCATGCCAGGCATATTGTGTACTTTGTATATGTTCACTGGAACGAACCAAGTTCAGCTACCAAATGAGCTATGTTACTCAGACTAGGCTAAAACAGTTGAACATGACCATGTTATGAAACTAGTACTTAAGTTACATACCCGTATCCACGTGTCAAGTTTGGTGAAATGTAGATTTAGAGTAAAATACAAAGTATTAAAAGAGTGTAGGAAGTTAGGAACTGTATTTATATTTAGGTTACCCTCAATAAGTTACAGAGAAATCACAAAAATTATGCTGCCAATCAAATGTACTTGGGACTTGGGAATTTTTATGTCTTAGGAATTCTGTTTTGGAAATAAACTCATGAAAACTATGACTTAATATAGGAACTACTCCGTAATTCTTTTATAGATGAAATGAGACCATTGTTTAATTGCACACTCTTTTTACATGGTTTTTTTTCCTTTGATGATATTATCAAAAGTAACTGAATTTCAATAACCTTCAATTGAACGACATTATGATCTGAATTTATTATGGAGTAAGTTCTTTTAAGGAACATGATTTATGTATGCCGCCTCAAGTCATCTATGCTTCTGGCTAAATCTGTTCATCTCTTAGAGGTATTACTAGCTAGCTTCCTTTGTGTTTTACAAGTTGGGGTTTAACTCCCTTTGTGCATGCTGTCAAAAAAAAAAATATATAGCTTCATGTCCTGCACCCGTGCAGTTAAGCTTAAGCTTTACAAACTAATAGATATCAATATATGCCAATCTTCGGAATCTTCCTATGAAGTGAATTTCTATATTGTTATCTATGTTTGTGTGACCAATTTTTTGATGAACATTGCGGAAGATCAATGCTACGCTGAAGATATATCTTATATGCTCTAGCAGCATACTGGTGTGTACATCAGTGCAAGATCCATCACCAGAAAAGGAAATTTATCAGCTAATTGAAGTGAGGCTGAGCAGCATGATGATGTAGCTGAAATTGTTTATAATCGATATGATATTTTTAGAATGGTAGGATGGTCTGATGTTGAGTTTCCATCTCGATTTCATTTTGAGAGAGGAAGGAAACAAGGGGGAGGAAGCTTTAAAAAGTACATAATTGATGAATATTCGGAATATAGGTTGTAGCACCCTCTAGTATGTTTAATGTGTGTTATTTTATAAACTTGTGTTTTGATCTCACATCATGGATACCATAACTCAAAAAAGAATTTAATAGCCTAAATCTTGCTAATAGTCTGAGGTAATCAAGCTGCTTGGAGAGATTAATAGCCTAAAGCTATTGTTATCGTTATCATCTTAATCAATCAATCGATAATTCAAGATTTCCCCCAATTAAACATCAAGATGACAGTTATAATTTATACTTTGATTGTTAAACTAGGCATAAATCACCAATTTTGAGCATGTGTTTTATACTTAAATTGCTAAGCAAGAATTTATATGACCTGTCTAGTGTCCACTAATGTTAATAAGCATTACCTTGGTCTTTGAAATAATTTTGATTCTCTCACCAGAAATTGTGAGGAGATTTGCTAAGTTAAAAGAATATAAGGAGGGAAACATTGAAGCAGAAAATGTAGCTTTTGATAGATACATGCAGAATATCAGTTTACTAAAAGAGGTGTTCAATGTTAATTCCGAGAGGCCTGTTAGAATTAAGGTGTTCAGGAAGAGGATCACAAAAATAGCTAAAAATTCAACCGAAACTGCACACACCACACCCAAAAAAAGGCAACACACTAGATCACAATTCCTCTACAATAAATTGTTGCACCAAGATATAAGCATATACAACTGAAATTTCAACACAAGTCAGATCACAATTTCATCAAAAAACTCTCATTTATAATGACAGAATTAAATATACAACACAAGTCAAGAGATCAAATTACTCCCCACGCATGACTCATACAACAAACAGTTGCATCAGGTTCATTAAAATGTAAGGGACTAATCACAACTCTAATCACTCAATTCTCATGCTCATAATCAATTCACATGTTCTGAATTAGCTCTGAATTTCAATTCTGAAATTCAGCACTGAATTCAGTTCTGAATTTCAGTTCTGAATTCAGTTCTGGATTTCAGTTCTGAATTCAGCTCTGGATTTCAGTTCTGAATTCAGCTCTGGATTTCAGTTCTGAATTCAGCTCTGGATTTCAGTTCTGAATTCAGCGCTGGATTTCAATATACTCAAAGGTACCAAAATTCCCAAGTATGATGGTGCAAGTTGGCTGCAGCAAAGTTTAATTAAGACACCAAGGTCCGTCATTGCAAAATTAAGAATCATAATCAGAGCATACATAC